AAAGCATTTTGTAATGCTAATATTATAATAATATTTGTATATTAAAAATTGCGGTCTTGGTTAAAACAAACGAATATAATTACATTATAAAATATTGCTGATCTCATGTATTGTCCTTTTGTAATATATAAAATTTCTATTACTATTATATTTTTTTATTTTTTTATTTCTTCGTGGATCATAGGCAAATTAGCATTATAGATGGTATATGCATGATAATTTATTTTTGATAAATAATTTTCCTTCACTAATTCTAATAGTATTTCTTTTGTTCCAGATTTGTTTATAAATTGCCGTCTTATTATACACATAACTAATGCTATGTGATTATATATATTGGACAACTATAAGGAAAAATAATTGAATTTCATTAATACACTTTAAATAATTATATAGTAAGTACATTTCTAAACATTATAACATACTGTGTGTTTATCTTTCATTGATGCATTTTTATAATAAACATAAATGGACGCCAAAACCAATTTTTTGTTCAAATCCAAATCGACTATACTCGGTACGAAAAATTGAACTATATGTGTTCACGCCCATCATTAAGGGGCTACCCGAAGGACCACTCGTTAACAACCGAGACGAGATTGTCTCTATTTATGCTTTTTGCAAAGGTGCCTACTACTAGCAAGTAAGCAACCGAAGTTGCCTACGCCTTATTATTTCCAGATAGGCAATTATAGTTGCACGAAGACGACGAGGATGGGAAATGGGACAGACCGAACTTTGGAATTAGGATGATGCAGTTTAATTATGGRGAGGGGTCTCTGGGATTGATTCTTGTTTGGTGCAATAATCCCAGAGCTCACAATATAAGGCCAATACTTAGAAACTAATTTAATTACTACGGAAGTCAGGAGACGGTGATACGCTGCAGACGACGCCGCTCGGGAAACTGACTCTCGAAGACCTGGGCGGCCTCTCACACAACGTCCATTGGCACGTTGCTGGCGGACTTACGCGGACGACTCGTTCGTTACGATGTGTATGATAATAATAATAATGACTTACRCGTTCAAGTTTTGTACGATGTCGTGGTTTATTGAATGGATGGTTGTACAGCKACACAAAGTTTAATAACAATACTAACAGTGAGCAACCAGGCGCACAGTGCAGTAATACATAAAAGAAGTATAATATAGATTTGGTGCTCACTGTTGTGGTGAACAACACATAATAATATAAAGATTGCTTTAATAGCGGATAAAAAAAAAGCACAATAGCGAGACAACCTTTTTTTGTAGACGTAGATACACGACACAGACCCAGCATACGAAAAAAAAAAAGATAATAAAACAAAAACAAGGGCGTTGGCCGTATAAAGTAAACAGAGAAAACAAGATATGATTACACAAAATGATAATCATGYCCAAAGACAGCGGATATACAATAATAACGGATAAAGAATATTGATAAGTATAATGAATACWAACATAAGAATAATACACATTTAAATAATGAGAGGTATCGGTGAAACCGARAGAATATGATAAGGAAAGGACGGTCGTCGTCGCGGCGCCACGGTAACGATATCGTATCGCTAATTACTAGGCGCGAACATCACCGCCCACCTTGAAGGAGTCCCTTCAAGAGGTTGGGAGTGGACAGAGCTTGACCGCTGGGCGTTTCAATGGTCCGGATGACGTGTCGAGAGTGGCCACTCTGGAGATCCCGTCTGAGCCTGGATGGAGTTCGCGAATTCTTCCAGTTCGCCAATGAAGAGGATGTGTCGCCTCCCTGACGAGGACAAGGTCACCAACACGGAGTTCCTGACCGGGTGCAGACCATTTTTTCCTAAGTTGAAGGCTACTGAGGTATTCGTTCCTCCATCGTGTCCAAAAATGTCGGTGTAGATCTGTGATTAATCGCCATCGTTGGTATTTCGACATCGGAACATTGACTAAACTTGGGTCAGGAAGTGACGTCGAAGGCTCTAGAGTCAAAAAATGACTAGGTGTCAACGCTTCATAATCATCTGGGTCGTTGCTGAGTGCACATAATGGGCGTGAGTTTAAGGTCGCTTCAACCTGGGTGAGCAGTGTTAGGAATTCTTCACTGGTCAATTGGTGGATGCCAATTGATCGAAGGATTAATGACTTAACGGACTTGACTCCTGCTTCCCACAAGCCACCAAAATGTGGAGATGCTGGAGGGTTGAAGTGCCAAGTTATATGATGATTGGCAAGGTGGCGATGAACACTGTCTTGAAATAATTGGGAATGCGTAAGTTCTTGAAGGGGGTCCATCAACCGTGACGCTCCAATAAAGTTGGTCCCGCAGTCACTGTGCATTTCCTTAATGGGCCCACGTCTGGCTGAAAAACGAGTAAACGCCATCAAAAAACATTCGGTGGACAAGTCAGAACTCAGTTCTAAATGAATTGCTTTAGTAGTGGTGCATACGAACAAACAAAAGTATGCTAGTTTAGGTACTGATTTACGACCACGAGGTTCCTTCAACGTGATAGGACCAGCGTAGTCCACACCAGTGATGGCAAACGGTTTAACTTGTTGAACTCGATAACTTGGCAGACTGGCCATTTTGGGCTGAACTGACCGTGGCCGGGTACGGAAACATGCGACGCAGAGTCGTATACGAGATCGAATAAGTCTTCGTGCCGATGGTATCCAGAACTCACGCTGCAAATGAGCTTGAAGGGCTATAGAACCTGGATGTTTTAGCCTGTGGTGATGATGGTCAATGAGTAACACGATTAGGCGATGATGACATGGTAACAGCAATGGATGTTTGTGAGCGTATGGCAGGTCGGCGTTCGTGAGACGTCCGCCCACTCGGATAAGTCCATAAACGTCAATGAACGGATCGAGTTTCTGAATGGCGGGAGAACAACGCAACCCTTTTTTTATGGACGATATGTCATCGGGGTATGACGCTTGTTGAACGTAAAAAACTAGGGCTGATAAGGCATGGGAACGTTCCTTTGCATCAATATGGTGTGTGTACGATGTAACTGGACTTGATTTGGAGAACCGAAGACAATAGGCTATAATATGAAGGACCTTATCTAGAGATGAGAACCGTTGTAGAACATTACTAATTGAGCAGTTTGTCGTAGTTAGGAGGACGATACATTTTCGCGCTTCTGTGGAGATGTGAACATCAGTTGTATTTGCACGGGATACAGCAGACGGCCACTTGTCAGAAGATTCTAGTAAGTATGCAGGTCCTGTCCACCACAACGGATGAGTAGCAAGTTCGGACGGAAAGTTCGGAGTCCGCGAGACGTGCAATCGACTAGATTTTGATGTGTGGGGACGTGGTTCCAAATGTCGGGTGACGTAAGTTCGTGAATTTGGCTAGTGCGGTTAGCAACAAACGTAGCCCAACGATGAGGAGATGATTGTATCCACGCTAAAGCGGTCGTTGAATCTGTCCAGGCATGGAATTTATCGATTTTGAGACGAGTTGAATAGGTATCGATGACGAACCGTAGAAGTCTGGCAGCTAAGACAGCTCCACAGAGTTCAAGTCGCGGAATCGTAGACCGTTTTAGAGGCGCCACTTTCGACTTGCCGGTCACAAGGTGACAATGAACTGAGGTAGAAGTCGTGGTTCGAAGATAAACGGCTGCAGCGTAGCCTTTTTCCGAACTATCCGAGAAGGCGTGGAGTTGTATCGATGTGGCGTCATCATATGTTATTCGACGAGGAATAGAAACGGTTTCAATTAACATCAGATCTGACTGATATAGTGTCCACATTACAGCGATATCCTTTGGTATTTCTTCATCCCATTTGATTCCAGCAATCCAAAGTTGCTGCATGACATGTTTGGTCCAGAATGTAATTGGCGACAGCAAGCCTAACGGATCAAAAATATTAGCAATGTCTGAAAGGACTGTACGCTTCGTTGGAATGACTGCTGACGGTTTGGCCTTGAAAGAAAAATTATCAGCTACCGGGTCCCACTTCAGCCCGAGTACCTTCAAGTCGGAATGGTCACTGCTGTCGAAAAGGACAGATGGTGACATGGCACGGGCTTCTTCTGGGACAACTTGCAGAAGTTGACTATTGTTGCTGGCCCACTTTCGCAATTGAAACTGCGCCATAGCACACAAGTTTATTAATTGGGTCTGGCATTCAAGAGCAGTTTCTGTTGAGTTGGCTCCGGTCAAGATGTCATCAACAAACGTGTCACTCAACAATACAGACGCAGCTATCGGCCATTTTGCACCATCTACAGTCGCTAATTCGCGGACAGTGCGAAGTGCTTGGAAGGGAGCTGCAGAGGTGCCGTACGTCACTGTACATAACCGGTACTCGTCAATCGGAGAGGTGGACGAGAATCTCCACAGAATCCGCAAATAATCTCTGTCAGTTGGTCTGATGAGAATCTGGCGATACATTTGCTTTATGTCAGCCATAAATAAGTATTTCCAAAGTCGAGCACGGAGGAGAACAACTTGTATGTCAGGTTGCAGTTTGGGACCTGTGTACATACTGTAGTTTAAGGATATACCGGCTGACGTTTTTGCAGATGCATTGAATACAACCCTAAGCTTTGTAGTCAGGCTATCGGGTTTAAGCACGCAATGGTGTGGAATATAATAATGAAACGGATGGCCTTGTTCAGACGATGGAATCAACTCTATATGACCAGCCGTCAGATAGTCGCGCATGAACTCGGCGTATTGATCTTGCAGGTCTTTGTTGCGGTTGAGACGACATTCTAGGGCCTTGAACCGTTGCAAAGCTAACGTTTTTGAGTCACCAAGTAGTGGACGTGGTTTCAGAAACGGAAGAGTGACAACAAATCTACCTGAACTTAAGCGAGTTGTAGTAGTGGTATATATTTTCTCAGCAGCAACGTCAGCTGGACTCAAATGGCATGCGGTGGGGAGCTCTTCAAGTTCCCAGAATTTTTTAATTAACGAGTCAATGGGTTCGGATATATTTACGCTAAGTGTGGCAACAGAAGAGCGGTCATTAAGGTCCGTAGGGCCCATGAGCACCCATCCAAAAACGGAGTTCATTGCGAGAGGTTCACCCACTTGACCCTTTCGAGTGCCATCAAGGAACACTGAAGGTAAGAGATCAGCTCCGATTAGTAAGTCAATTGGGCCAGGTGTATTATATGATGGGTCGGCCAGCGAGAGACTATTAATGTGATCCCAGTGTCCAAACGGTACCGGAGTTTGAGGAGTTGGTCCAGTTATGTGTGGAACTATCGATACGTCAAGTGAAAAAGAGGGTGCTTGTTGACCGGAGGGAGACATCTTAATATTGCATTTGCCCCGAACAACGGTAGAGTCTGAACTAGCAAATGTAGTAACGCTGACAGAAGATCGGAATTGACGAAGCATAAGAGCACACGCAGCTCGTTCTGTGATAAAACTAGCTTGTGAACCAGAGTCTAATAAAGCTCTTAACGCGTTTCGCCGTCCATCAGCAGCATAGACGTCCACTACTGCTGTTGACAATAGAACGATGCGCTGAGGTTGTCCTCGAACAAGACATGAGGTAGTAGTAACATGTGACTCAGCCCTTGGCACAGGCTCCGCCGTCTTAGTGGATAATGTATTTGACGATACTGATCCGAAGGTATTTGGTTTATTAGCAGTAGGATCAAAGTGCAACAGCGAATGATGACTTTTCCTACATGACTGACATGTATAGGTTGAAGGGCATCGCCCTGAGGAGTGACCTGTCCCCAGACAATTTATACTCAAACGATGCGTTTTTGCAATATGAAAGCGTTCATTTGGAGGCTTGTCAGTAAATAGCGTACATGACCTTATTGAATGAGGTGCATTACACAGTGGACACGGCTTGACGGAAGAATTACTCGAAGTGGTGGCTAGAACGCTTGAAGAAGAGCGAGGGTTGAACTTTGTTTGCTTAACTGACTTGTGCGGTTTCAATGCACTATTGTGTCGGTCAGATGATGAACAACTGGAATAAATTGCCGCAGACCGCAGATGGGTACGCAAAAAATCAACAAAGTCAGAAATTTGAGGATAATGATTCTCCCCAACGACCAATTCCCACCGAGCACGAAGGTCATAATTAAGGTGTTTTTCAACGATGTGCACCAGAAGTGGACTCCACTGGCGCGTTACAAAGTCAAGATTGTCCAACGCAGCAGTGTTCTCTAATATCGTATTGATCTGAGTTTTAATAGAGGAACCATCATTGGACTTAACAATCTGGTTAGCGAGCAGAGCATCTAGGTGAATACGAGCAAGATCACGCTTATTGCCATAACGAGAACGCAATATTTTCCACGCACTAGTGTAATTTGTAGCCGTTAACGCGAGATGGGAGATAAGTGATAGCGCTTCACCCTTAAGAGACATCTTCAGAAATTCAAACCGCTCAACGTCCGGCAGTTCAGGAGCGTGCGATAGTATGGAGTTAAACAAATCGTCAAATCCCTGCCACTCGGTCATCTCACCGGAAAAAACAGGGAATGTACGCTTAGGTAACTGAAATGCGGATAATTGATGTTGRCCACTGGTTTGATTTGAAAATGATGAAGCAGTTGCGTCCATCGAGGATAACATTGTCAATTTGTGAACATCAGCGAAAGCAGCCAGTTCATAATAGAGACTATCGAATRACGCAATAAGAGTTTGACTTTCACTATGGTCAGTGACCTCGACAGGCGCTGTTTTTGAATTAACGGCTGATTCCATTCGTTGGACATCATCCTCAACTGCGTTACGAAGAGCAACTAGCTCACTAATCATTTTGGCAATTTTGGCTCGTTTACCAGAGTTTGTACGGTCGTTATTGAAATCAATAGAAGCTTGGGCAAAGGATTTCAATTTGGTAACGCAGYGAATAATGCGCGATTTTGCGTCGTTGTAAATAGCGTCCGCCATTGTTGTTCGAATKTATTTGATGCAACGGCAGGTCTACAAGTAATGAGATTGTTCGTGGAGCACAGGTACGTGGACGATCTACAGGGGAGATTCTTCATAAACTTCTAGGTCCACAACAATTCGACGACAGTACAGATTTTAAAGATGTAGGAACTAGTTTGTGTCTTATAATAAGAACAAGATCAACGAAGAATAATGATCGTGTGTTGTTTGATAAAAGAATCACCCTGTATATATATAATTATAATTATTTTATATTAAAATATAATAGAAAAATATTCAATACATATACATAATAATATTAAAAACATACAATACAAAATATTTA